ACTTCCTATGGTAGGTGACAGGTGGTATGACATCATCTGGCAAGTCCTTTGCGATGTCTAAGATCGGTGCATGCTGTCTGATTTCTGCTGCTCTCAGCAGGGTTTTCCAGGAACCAATGTATTTTGGTGATACCAGGGTTGAGTCTTCATCTTGAGATGTGCAATGGATGAGGCACTCCAGGCGTGGCCGCTTTGGTGCCGTGCCGCTGGTTCCTACCTCTGGGACTGAGTCCATTTTCAGTTAGTTGCTAGTAGTGACAGTAGCAGTGTATGGAACCTGCAAATACACCAAAGCAACGTGGGGAGGTTATGATTGTTCATGTATTATCTTATATATATAAAGTCTTTACACTTAAGTAATGCAATAAAATATACATTCTGTTTGTAGTACGTCTCTGTACTAATAGTTTCATTACATGATTCATTTCTCATGTGATCACTCCGGAGCACGAGTCTGCATTCTTGCTCTATAAGAAGGCAGAAAGTTTCATCACTTTGAAATATTAACTTAATCTTAACTATACATCTTAACTAAAAATGTATGTCTACATACCGGTACATCAGACGCAGTGTCCGATAACATGTAAAATGGCAAAAACATGCGGCTCCAATAACATTATCTGAAAAGCAATAAAATGAGCTTCTTCCCCAAAAATCTGAAAATATATTCCAAATAGAACATACAAAGCTTATATAATATTCATTCCGGCAAGTATCATTATAATTTTCCACATAGCAGGGACAAACACAGAAAATACCGTCAAACTTTGTAAGTGACAAAATGCGTTATTTGATCAATAATGGGGTAGCATGTAACTCCGCTAAGCTACTCAGTTGGAAAGTCTATCATGGCTAAATGTACTTATATGGACCCTATGAACAAAATGGTACCACAAATGTTTTGCCACCTCGGGTGGTACCGATATTTGGTCTGGCCCATGGACTATTTGGATGTGTTGCTCAAACAATTACCGGTTGCCTTGTCACAGACAATCTGCTCGACAAAATATGTTTGTCTTTTTTGTTTCCCTGTGATGATGGTTCTTCAGGACTGCTTCTTAAGCTCAAATCACACTCGCAGACTTTTCCGGTGTTTCTAAATTAGATGACAATGTATGTGTGTCGATTAAGAGGAAAAGATGCCTGTTTTTTTTGTTGCTATTACTTTCAGGAAATGTACAACCTAACCCTGGTCCGCCCAGTAGTAGTAGTCAGATCGCTACTCCTGCTGATTTTAAAGCTAGGTCTGGGTTGGGTTTCATCCACTTGAATGTGCGCAGTCTGTTAGGTAAACTAGATTTTGTCCGTATCTTGGCGAGCTCGACTGACGCTGACGTCATTGTTTTATCAGAAACATGGCTAAATAAATCTATTTTGGCCTCTGACATTGCCTTAAATGGTTTTAATGTGTATCGTACCGACCGGCCTAATAAAGGTGGTGGCGTTGCCATTTATGTTAAGAATAAGTTCAGTGTATCCACATTAGTTTCCAAATCTATCAGTAAGCAATTCGAATTTTTAGCCTTAAATATAGAAGTGGCAAAGGGGCAACAGGTCATGGTAGTGAGTTGTTACAGACCCCCCTCAGCTGTCAAAGACTCCTTGTCTTCACTAGCAAATCTTTTATCACAACTAGACTACAAGGAAATAGTGCTACTTGGAGATTTTAACTGGGACTGGTTAACTGCAGTGTCAGAGGATTTTAAAAACCTTTGTATCTCTTTAAATGTTACTCAGATTGTTGACAGTCCTACTCGCCCTAACATTAAGTCTCCTAATAAATCCTCCCTAATTGATCTCATTTTAACTAATGTTCCCCATAAATATTCATATGTGGGAGTATTTGCAAATGATGGATCTATGTGCTCTTTGCTTGATTCATGCCTTCCCAGTCCCTTATCACGTAGCCTATAAGAGCATGGCGCCAGTTGTTGTAGCCAGTTGTGGTGAAGGCATCTGACTTACTTGAACCGAAATGTCTACATGCATAGCAGAAGATGGCATCTTTTTTACATGAATATTCCAGCCAATCTCTGTTTTGAAACCATGAGCTGCAAAATGAGTAGCCTACAGGCGAGTTGGGTACTTTTTTAAATATACCTGGGCAGGCTCTGTTTTGCCGAGGTCCTCTGGCACTTGCAGGCCGCCGAGGGGTGGCAGTGTTTGGGGCAACGAGGACGGCTGCTCCGCCTCAGTGGGCGAGGCGGGCAAAGCCGGTGTGTTGGGCGTTAGTGTCCACGACAGTGGCCGTGGGTAACGTAATGTCCCCATGATCTGAACTGTTATTACCTGCAGTAGATGCAGTGTTACTGCTGGCGATAAGGGCTGGTTGTTTTAACAATTTTCTGATGTCCATCACTGACTGCTGTGTGCACAGGTCACGCGCACCTGACATAATAATAACGTTACTTACCGTTTAAATTGACCAAATAAATGCAGCAGACAATGTTATTTAACCACAATTACAATTTATTTTATTTCAACTAAATTCTTATTATTATTACTACTATTATTATATATGTAATATTTTTCACTTCTTTTTTTTTTACTTTTAATTTTTCAACTGAGGAATCAATGCACCCTTATGCACCCCCGTAGAACCGGGCCTGCCTACGGGTGCGTTCGTTAATATTAACTGTGCGGTCCGGAGTCACTGGCACAGACTGGACCGCTGGTGAACAGCTGTTAGAACGGGCTGTTCAGAGCAGAGCTCCCTGTCGGAGCGGCAGAGCATGATGTGCACTGAAACGTTTTTCTGTCACAATATTATTTAAGGAATCGTTGAGCTAGCTAACTAGCATACATTGTCACTATCTGCTAACGTTAGCTTTAGCCTTCGTTTTCTAATAGTTTTTTTCATAGGCTATAAATTAAACAGAGGTTGTATAAGTATAGATCTTGTACTTGAGTACAAGTAGAAGTACTCAGATCTTGTACTAGAGTGAAAGCAGAAGTACTGAGATCTTGTACTGTTGTACTTGAGTAAAAGCAGAAGTACTCAGATCTTGTACTTCAGTAAACGTAGAAGTAGTACTCAGATCTTGTTCTTGAGTAAAAGTAGAGATCTTGTACTTGAGTAAAAGTAGAAGTACTCAGATCTTGTACTTGAGTAAAAGTAGAAGTACTCAGATCTTGTTCTTGAGTAAAAGTAGAAGTACTCAGGTCTTGTTCTTGAGTAAAAGTAGAAGTACCAGAGTGTAGGAATACTCTGTTACAGTAAAAGTCCTGCATTCAAAATGTTCCTCAAGTCAAAGTAGAAAAGTTTTCTCATCAAAATGTAGTGAAAGTAGCGACAGTAAAAGTAGTCGTTGTGCAGATTGCTCCATTTCAGAATAATATATATGATGTGTTTTATAATGATTGATCATGAAAGTGTTCTCAAAGCTGGTAAAGGTGCAGCTAGTTTGAATGGCTTTGTACTGCAGGGTAGCTTGTGGATTTACTCCAGGTGGAACTAAAGTCTGATTTAACACTTGGTTATATTTCACATCATTCATCCAGATCTGTGAAGTAACTAAAGAGATTAAATACATGTAGTGGAGGAAAAGTACACCATGTACCTCTGAACTGTAAGGAGAAGAAGAACAAAGTAGCAAAACATTGAAATACTTAAATAAAGTACAAGTATCTCAACATTTTACCCAAGTATAGTACTTGAGTTTATGAACTTGGTTACTTTACACCGCTGGCTATACAGATGGAAAGACTAAGCCTTGCAGAGGCATGAAAATACATTTTCAAAATGATAAACTGACTGCTACACAATTAAAATAAATGCTTTTATATATTTCTATTAGATGTGACGCTTTAGCGTTTCTGTTATTAACACTGCTGCTTTAGTTGTTCTGACTGCTAAAATCCTCTGTTATTCCTAATTTTAAAGCCGATATTCCGTGGGGTCGGGGGGCTCGGATCCTTGTCGCCTTTTTCATACCTGATGAGTTTGCATCCCTGAAGGAGGCTGGTGTTAAATTACAGGCTGTTTTTAACATTATTCAGACTCAGCTCTCTGAACTAAAGCTTCTTTTAAATGTTGAGAAAACCAAGGTAATGCTCTTTTCTAAAGCTAAAAAGACACCAGAGCCTGTTTTAGATATTGTAACTACGCAAGGAACAAACTTGAAGTTGTTACCTGTTACAAATACCTTGGTATCTGGCTTGATGATTGTCTCACTTTTAAACTTCATGTCAATAACCTGCTTAAAAAGCTGAGGATTAGGCTAGGTTTCTTCTACAGGAACAAGTCCTGTTTCTCGCTTGAGGCCAGGAAAAGGCTAGTCACTGTGACCTTTTTACCTGTGCTGGACTATGGTGATCTGATTTATATGAATGCACCTGCCAATTGCCTGGTCAAGTTAGATGCTGTGTATCACAGTGCACTGAGATTTGTGACAAACTGTAAAGCATTAACCCATCACTGTACCCTGTATGCAAGGGATGGTTTGCCTTCGCTAACTGTACGGAGGCTCAGTCACTGGTACATTTTTATATACAAAGCCATGTTAGGGAAACTTCCATCTTATATCTGCTCCCTGATCTCACGGAGAATTGTAAGTGGCTACTGCCTGAGATCGAATGCTGTGGTTTTATTAAATGTTCCAACTGCTAGGACTGTCTTAGGGAAGATAGCTTTTAGATGCGCAGCTCCTCTGTCTTGGAATAGTCTGCAATTTAAATGAAAACTGAACAATCTGGTGCCACTAAATGTTTTTAAAGCTCGGTTGGATGCTAGTCAATCGGAAGCTATTGGTACCTGTTTATGTGGATAATTATGTAAATGATGCTGTATGATGTCCTTTTGTTGTTCTATTTATGTTTTTATGTTCCATGTGGAACTACTTGAGCAGGTCTCCCTTGGAAAAGAGATCAATGATCTCAATGGGATTTATCTGTATAAATAAAGGTTTGAAATGAAATGAAATGAAATCGAATGGGGTTAGAACCGGAAATGAAGTATATATTCAAGTGGCGTCCGGAGCTGTGATTGGTCCTCAGGAACTGCCGAAAAAAAGTACAGAAGAAGAGGTGTCGACAACCGCGAAAAGTAACAGTTGGTTACACAAAGCCAACCTCTGAGAGTCTCCAAAAGTAAGTTAATTAAATGAAATGTTTCTGCTCAATAAATGTTTGTACCCCTTTCCAATATAGTGCTGTGTTCGTTCGGTATCTTACAATTACGGAGACGTGTGTATGTACATGACACCATGTATTGCTAATGTTAGCTATCAAGCTAGCGCTGACATTAGGTCAGCATCCTGGTCTCCAGTATGTGTGGTGGTTGTTTTCTCCCTAATGTCCCTAATTTCTCCACAATTATCAAATTCCTTTTTGATTTTATGCATTTTCAGATCAACTCTGAATTCAAGAGAATCACGACCAAGCCACGACAATCAAAATTCCTGTCTCAGCTGGACCTCCACTCTGGCACCCTGATGAAGCTGTTCCAAAAGCGAGGAGGACAGCTTGGGTCACTTGGCTGGAAACAATAATTTTGCAAATGGCTAATGTAAGTGATACAGGATTCTCACAATTATGAACAACCTATAAACATAAATTATTTAGAATTTTTTTTTTGAGAATCACGAATTTTAGAATTGTGAAAAGTGATGCTACAATATTTTACATTTTAGTTATTACATAATTTATTTGCAAGAATGGCACACAAAAAGTGCTCATCGCCAAGGAGACCATTAGTGCTTTTTTTCCCTTTTTTTTCTCCTTTCAGTAGTGTAGTAGCTCCGCAGTGAAAGTGACCAGAGTGCTGGCTGACAGCAGCTCTAACACACAGTGCTACTTTTTGGTCCTTCAGTGCCACCATAGTTTCTCTGATTGAGTAGAGCGTTGCCATTCCCTCTCTAACCACACGTTTAGCTAAAACGCCCTAATTCTACACATTGTAGCTTTAACTGACTATCCATCTCAATTTTAAATGTGATATATAATAATTCAACTCGTATATCCACTGACCACAATTTGAGAAAGATGTCCAGGGGATGTGGAGCTCACAGCAGGGCTTGCACTTTCTTAGGAACTGTGATGTTGTATTCTCAAAGTAATATGTATCCAAATGAAAGTTCACACCAGTAGTTAACTTGAATTAAAGCACAAGACCTGTAATAAGACACTAATCAAGTACATTTACTTTCAGTGTGATGATGTAGATGCCGGACGCGAGTCTATCATCAAGGGACTATGCATCTCCATGGGGGAAGATCCAAAAGACCTTGTGCGAGAATATGTGGTATGTACATGAATCTGCCTGCTTCTTTGATACTTCTCTTCACTTTTGTTTTCATACATGATCTCTTGGGCTGAAATTGTTCATTGAAAATATAGTGGGTGGTTTTTGTTTCATATTATGAAATATCACATTCAATATTTCATCGTTGCTGCTTGAATTAACTTAATACATTTGGAATTGCAATTTTTCCTATTATACTTGTGGAGTAGTTGCATACATATTTACCTTGGAGCATTTTAACAAACTAATAAGTGAACACGGCAACTAGTGCCACACAAGGACGTGTCCCACTTGTTATACTCAGTAAGGCATAGCCAGCTTAAAGATCACCAGATTGATTCATGTTCTGCTGTAATTACTTGATTATTTTATCTACATTTAATTTGACATCTTTAATTTACTTTAATTTATAATGTTCAACTTGCCATGGCTAGATCTATACTATGCCTTCCCTTATTTTATTTCATTTTTTCTTGATGGGGCTTGGTTTTAGGTCTTATTTGCTTACATTTTGCCATTTATTTTTTTACAGGACACAGATGAAGGCGCCATCAAGGACACAACTGTGGGGATTTATGTTCTTAAAGATGCTTCCACTGATGAACCGGAGGACATCGGGATCGTTCTAGAAGGCGTCTCCAGACAAATCTGGATAATGTAGCATTAGCTTTTGTAATGCTGTTCGGACTAATGTACGCGCTGAATATCAGCTACCCTGCTGACCTCCGCTACACCTTTGAAGTAGTCCAAAGCCTTATAATGGACTGCGGTAAGCTCTCAAACAAAGCAACTGCTCTGAAAAACAGGCTCCTTCAGTGAAACGGTTCAGAGACTGCTGCATGCAAGGAACCCCAAACAATTGAATCTGTTCTTTTTTCTCTGTTATGTTTTAGGATTTGTTGTTACTTCGTTACAACTTGTGTTTTTAACCTGAGACCATTTTAAAGACCATTGCTGTCTTTAGTGTTTGAGACTCTATTATAAGAAACCTGTCAATCCTGCATGTGCAACTGTTCAGCCTGTTCACTCTTATTGTTCCTTCATATATTTCTTCTAGACTGATGCCACCACAGGTCATTTTATGTCACAGATGTTCAGGTTAAAGCATAGTTCCATGCTTTAATTATTCAATGTTCCATGCTGCAGTGTTTTTCTATATTGCCTGTGCTGTAGCACCTCTTTTAATTTTTGGAAAATATATATATTTTATAAATTCTATTGTTACTGTGAAAAGGGTAAAACCCATAGACTGTATATATAAATGGACGTAGGGTCCGTGACGTCACCCATAGGATTCTGCAGAGTTGCCGTGAAGCCCTTAGTAGGCGGAGTCGGCCACTAACGGCTCGACGATGTCGTCAGAGTCTAACTCCTGCCTTCTCCAAATAAGGGCAAAGAGGCGGAGCTGAGGCGGAACAGGGCGGGACCTGCTGCCAACGAGCGTGACGTTCGAGTCCTAGCTCAGGCTAAGAAGCTAAGCTAACATGCTCTCAGTATCAATCGAATGTAAAACATGATTGATGAAAGTAGTAAATCGGTCAGATTTGACCCGAAGACAACAGGAGGGTTAATGCCATATTCACTTAGTAACGCATGAACAACTTTTACAAATATTTCTATATAGTCTGTGTTGGTAAATGTCATCTAGGTTGCACATTTCCTGCTGAAATACATGCATACCAAGTCACTGCGTGGCACTTTGGTTTTGATAAAACAGTGTAGTTCCACTATATAAACGTTACATTCATAATCAAACGAGACAATCTGCAAGATAATTAGCTATTTGGTATTATTCTTAATGCTTGTCATTCACACGTTAATAAAATAAGTACCGATACATAGCAGAATAATTGTGGCGGTGTTCAGCTTAATAAGCCTTGCTCAACATCATTTATTTAGCTAATACTACAGCGGGCTGCAGGCGAACCAAGTCCGCGTTACGATGCATTCCTTGATCTCCAGTTATAACGCCGGACTCCGCCGCTGGCCGAAGCTAACGGAGCCCCAGGGTGCTAGCTACGGCCGCCGGGACGCGCTAGCGAGCTAGCACCCTGCAGCCCCGTTAGCTTCGGCGGCGTGGACTCCGGCGGCCCACCCCTTTTAACATTTGCTCCCGTTTAGCATTATGGGCGTCATAGCCATATAGTATAAAAGTCTTACCCAAGGCTGAATCATAAACTAAACTGTATATATGTATAAAGGGTTACGTCCTTAGCTGGCTAATAAGCTACATAACAGGCTAAGCTAACAAGCACACAAACACCTGCTAATGTATAATATTATCATTTTACTCGCCGAAAAAAGCTGAAAGTCGACTTCTTGGAAGATCTGTTAGTACATTCAAGCGCACAGCACGACATTTTAATTATCTGGTATTTGTAACAATATTCCCTAACAGGCACGATCACCACGAACACAGCTAAAGGATCAAGTACAGTAACTACAACTAACTAACGTTGTAGCCTCTATGGTTGTAGCCTAGCAGATTGGACAAGTTGCTGTTAGCTGACAGTGAGGCACGTATCTGTCAATCAAAGTGACCACGCCCTAATGTATGCACAAACTTTAAGACCTAATATAAATATAAAGGGTCGCGTTAGAAAACAATTCACTCACAGATCCATAATCATGAAGGTGGAATCTAACTATATCGATAATAAAATGTATGGAGCCAGGGGTAGAAACATGTTTTTTTCTGCTGTAAAATCGGGCATTTTAACATGGGGGTCTATGGAAATTGCTACTTTCTGCAGCCATCGCCTATCGGCCAATATATGAACTGCAGTGTGTGGCACTTCCGTATTGGCTTCCCGGCTCTACCCCAGAGTTTGCCGCTTGGTAAAACCCCGAATTAAACCACATAATTGAGAACTAGTTTGAATGTACCGAAGTGTGTGTGTAGTGGTATTCTTGTTGCTTATTTAAAGCTCAATAAAGTGTTTTGATACAGAACTGCTTGATTTTGTATTTGCCTCCATTGGAAGCTATGTGTGCAATGTATTTGAATGAGAGACTTAGCTAATCATATTTGAAATTGCTTTAAACACGCATAATACCTTTTAATAATATTAGCATGAACAATTTAATTTACTGGTCAAAATCTAGCAACCAGAACATGATGAAATAGCTTAAAACATACACAATATATTTGAATAATAGCATGGAAAAATCATGTTAGAATTACAGGTCAAAATTAAATAAACAGAACGTTGCTTTAACATTTCTCAATAAAATGGGATTGCAGTAGCTGAAAAATATGTTGAATCAACATGATTATTTCTAGCGGTCTGATGTGAATAGTATATGATGGTTTGACAAGCAAAAATGTGTCAGTTTTACACATTCTCATGGTGTGGGACCATCAAATCGAGTTTTTTCAGTGTGTACCCATTGTGGGCTCTGTTACTTCCCTGAAACACCCCTTTCAGTGTTTCTCATTTCTCATTTGTGTATTTTAAGGATGCTCATGTACTTCTGTTATTTTTATTTTAAAAAATTGTAAACTGTTCAACTGCATTTAAGCAAAAACAATAAATATTTGATGGATCTGTGGGTGTGCTGTGTGAGGCCCTGCACTGTTTACCGTACACATGGACACACTGATGATGGGGAAGTGTGTTACTGATATGAGAAGCTGCGCCTTGGGTTAATCATTGGTGAGGGGGTGCTGAATGTATCGGGTGCTGGTGATGTGCTGCACGTGGCCGGGCGGTAGGCGGACTCTTCCCCCCCCGCCACTCCTTTCCGCTTATGGCTCCTCTCCGCCGCTCCAGTCCGCGATGGAGCCCCGGACATAGCACACGGCAACTCTGGCACTCTCTTTACGCGTGTTGGCTGGTAAGTTGTCTGCTGCCTCGACTATCGTTAACTGGTCATCAGTCAGTACCGTTTCCTCGTGTATAGATGCTCCCGGACAGACTGCGGTGGGACAGTGCCTCATCATGTGATTCCTTACAGAGTGAAAGACAGCCGTCCGATGCGTAACGAAGGAAATCTTAACTTAACCAAAAGGAGTCTGATTCCCGACTGGAAGTGATCCTCACCAGAGGTGGGAAGACACTAACTACATTTACCCAAGTACTGTACTTAAGTACAATGTTGAGATACTTGTACTTTACTTGTGTATTTCAATTGTATGTTACTTCTTCTCTTGTACAATTCAGAGTTAAAGTGTTTACTTTTCCTCCACTACATGTATTTTGTACCTTTAGTTACTTTACAGATGTGGAAGAATGATGTGAAATATAATCAAATCTTAAATCAGACTTTAGTTAAACCTGGAGTAGGCCTACATTCACCAGCTACCCTGCAGTATACAAAGTCATTCAAACTAGCTGCACCTTTACCAGCTTTGAGAACACTTTCATGATCAATCATTATAAAACATATCATATATATTATTCTGAAATGGACCAATCTGCACAATGACTACTTTTATTTTTGATACTTTAAGTATATCTTGATGCCAATACTTTTTTAATTTTACATGAGTAACCTTTTGAATGCAGGACTTTTACTTGTATTCCTACACTCTGGTACTTTTACTTAAGTACAATATCTGAGTACTTCTCTCACCTCTGCTCCTATAGGTGTCATTCACATTGAGGACTTAACCCCACCACTTTTTTGAAACGTCTGATTTGGACCTTATCACTTTTTAAAAGTTTAATTTATTAACAAGGCTGTACTAAAGAGCTTGCATCAAGAAATTTAATTGAAAACACTTCAGGAAAGGTTTGTTTAAGACAGCAGATGATGTAATGTGAGTACAGAAGTAACTCAAATGCATTTTCTAAAACAAAAGCTAAAAAACAAGTGAGTTTAACAAGTTTTCAGTTGTCACTGTTCATGATGCATTCAGATGACTGTGCAAATAGCAGTATTTAACAAGTAAAAGTCCTCCATTCAAAATCTAACTTGAGTAAAAGTACACAAGTATTATCAGCTAAATGTAGGCCTACTTAGTAAGTATACAAAGTAATTATATTTATATATGTGACATTTCTAGATGATATTGTTGTATCAAGTAGCATTTGACTGTTGTAGAGAAATGGATGGACTTGGACTAAAAATACATTTGAATAATTTGACTCTTTTGTGACTTAGAAGTAGTCCACTAGTTGAATTTATAGAGATGCATTTTGTAAAAATAAATGTACTGGAGTAATTTTGCATTATTTAAATGTAGAGTAGAAGTATAATGTAACATAAAATGAAATACTCAACTAAAGTACAAGTACCCCACAATTGTACTTAAGTACAGTACTTGAGTAAATGTACTTAGTTTTTTCCCACTACTGCACACTTGTGTTGAATTTATTCAGTCAGTTAGTTATCGTGTGATCACACCATTGTCCTTTTCCTGTGTTTCCCCTTACACTCAATAGATGCATGTGTTTCATTGTATTAAGGTTCTAATGTGGAACTGCAGGAGGAGTTTGCATGGCAGGAGAGCCGCTCAGAGACAACCTTAGAGAGCAAGGTAGGCTCTTTAAGACCACAAACAGCTACTCAAACTATTGACCTACCTACAAAACACAATCACCAGATACAAAATGCCTGATGTGTTCATAAAACTTAAAGTTCCAGTGTAATGTCGCAAGACTGACTTCAAATGATTGACTTAGGATACCTCAAATGGATACTTCTCAAATTGAGGTTCTTGTAGTAACTGCTTCCTTTCATGTCTTTTTTTATCCATTTGTTCCCAGAATGAAAATAAGATGTGCCTACTACACACATAGATTGAGACACAGGTGCTTCCTGTTTTCTCTGTCTCTGCTGGCGGTGTGTCTGCTCAAGCTGGTCTACATTAAAGTGACAGTGAGGGACAGCGTCTACATCGAGCCCTATGGAATCTCTGTCAGCTTATCCAGAAGGTACGACATCAACTGCACCGCCATCTACGAGCTGGACCCTGTGGAGATAGGCAAAGCTCTGGAGATAAAGCGTAAAGTCATTGTTGATGTGGACGATGATAGCACTGTGAGTTTGACCTCAGACTGCCAAACGTTTATCAGAACAAGAGGATACCATGAGGCTCCAGTGTCGAATGCAGAGCACAGCTTCCCATTGGCTTACTCTCTGGTGGTACACAAGAATGCACCCATGGTGGAGCGGATTCTCCATGCCATCTATGCACCTAATAACATCTACTGCATCCACTATGATCAGAAGTCCTCCCCAGCGTTCATAAAGGCTGTTACCAACCTGGCTCGGTGTGTTCCAAATGTGTTCATCGCCTCAAAACTAGAGTCTGTGCAATATGCCCACATCAGCAGGCTGAATGC